TTCGAACTAGAGGGGTAATGTAGGCATACCGCACTTGCAAATGAAGCCCGGGATTTGAATTAGGCTTCCTAATCCGAACTAGCTACTCTGTGCCGCGTGTAGCCGCGCGGCACGGGGTTCGAACTAGCCGGGATTTAAAAATGGCGGCGCCCGGCTTATGCAAATGAAGCCCGGGAAATTCAAATCCCGGGCTTCATTTGCAAGTGCGGTATGCCTACATTACCCTCCTAGTTCGAATTAGGAGGGTAGTGTAAACATACCCTCAGTCTGCTCTTTTCTAAACTGAAGAGTCCCAGTTGCTTTAACCTCTCCTCATATGGTACCGGTTCCAAACCCCTAATCATTTTAGTTGCCCTTTTCTGAACCCTTTCCAAGGCCAAAATATCTTTTTTGAGGTGAGGAGACCACGTCTGTACACAGTATTCAAGATGTGGGGATACCATAGTTTTATACGGTGTCTTATTTTCTATCCCTTTCTTAATAATTCCTAGCATCCTATTTGCCTTTTTGATCGCCACTGCACACTGTGTGGAAGTTTTCAGAGAACTATCCACAATAACTCCAAGATCTCTTTCCTGATTTGTCATAGCCAAATTAGCCCCCATCATACTGTACCTGTAGTTGGGGTTATTTTTCCCAATGTGCATTACTTTACACTTATCCACATTACTTACCTCACTGCTTACCCCTTTCTCCAGATCATTTATGAATAAGTTGAAAAGGATTGGTCCCAGGACTGACCCTTGAGGGACACCCCTTCCATTCTGAAAATTTACCACTGATTCCTACCCTTTGTTTCCTGTCTTTTAACCAGTTCTCAATCCAATAAAGGACCTTCCTTCTTATCCCATGGCCATATAATTTACACAAGAGCCTTTGGGGAGCAACCTTGTCAAAGGCTTTCTGAAAATCTAAGTATACTATATCTACTGAATCCCCCTTGTCTGCATGTTTGTTAACCTCTTCAAAGAACACTAATAGATTAGTAAGACATGATTTCCCTTTACAGAAACCATGTTGACTTTTGTCCAACAAATTATGTTCCGGGCTAGTCAATTTCCAAAATGGCGACTGCCCTGGAATATGTTAATGAAGCATGGGATATTTAAATCCCACGCTTCATTTGCAATTTTGGTTTCCCTCATTAGCCTCCCTAGTTTGAACTAGGGGGCTAGTGTAGACATACCCTTAGTCATATATACCTTGAACTCCATCAGCAGTAGCCCATATATTATAATCCAGGAGTGGGTTGCGCCCAACCCCATACTCTTTACATTTAATTAAATGGACCTTCAGGGCTTCTTCAAGGGATGATGTCAGCCCTTGTTAAAACAGTCTAACAGTAATTTCATGGCAATGCATCCGTAATTGCAACAAAGGTTTGTTTGGCTTATAAACACTGATCTCATTTTCCCCAAGTGAGTTGTTTCAGTGAGTTTGGAAACTGTGCAGTGCTCGTATTGAGTCTGCTAAAGAAAATACCTGCAGCTCTGTACAAAGTTGTGATAGCGTATCTTCCACAGCCAGCTCTTCTGGGGGCAGAAAAAGAAAAACCATGTTTGAGAAGAGTAGAAGGGACATATTAACTCATAACTTTCAACCCAAATGAGGGCCGAATCACTCAACATTTTACTCTCCACCCTCCACAGGCAAGTGTTTCCTTGGCTCTGCATGTAAGATCTCTGCCCCAAAGCCCTTCTCTTTCTCTAATGGTCAACATCTGCTCACTTTACTCCAGCAGGATTTGGCTCTTCCTATATGGGACTCCCCCTGGTGTAAGTAGCAGCTTGACACTGAAAAAAGGAGCATGCACATTACAAAATGCCTTACACTTTCCCCAACCACAGCTGGAGATTTTGCATATTCATAGGCACAGCTATAGGGGTCATGAACACAGATAGTTACACCCCATCTTGTCATGTTATGGTTCGTGTTTCAATGCTGACTCATGAATTTTCATTCTTGATTTCTCAGGCCTGGTCCACACATAAAATTTAGGCTGACACCATTATACCAGTCTGCGGTGTGAAAAATCCACTCCCGACCAATGTTGATCTCCTGTCCTAACCCCCAGTGTGGATGCAGCCAAATCAATGGGAGAATGCACCTGCCGACATAGCTACAGTCAGCTGGGGAGGGTTGTTCCCATGCCACTGGTAAAAGCCTTTACTTCAGTGAAGGCTTTGTCCACTCTAGGGGGCTGTGCAGGCATAGGTACAGCAATGTAGCTGGCATAGTCTCTGAAGTATAGACATACCCTTATTTTGGAAACTAGATCACTACATTTTTTATGTACAGACCATCAGTCTATTCAATGCCCACTGAATTTAATTAAAAGAATCCCAGTGTCTAATAGGCTTACAATCAGGCCCCGGAGTCCTGAACCAGACATTTTAGACTTGTAAATGGGTATGGACAATTTCATTCTTAAGTGGGTAAGCAGTTACATTTGCATTTAGTGAATTGGCATGTACAGCAAGTGTGTGTGCAAACAAAATGCATATTTATGGGCTAGAAACTGTCTGTAAATCTGGCCCAATGGATGCAGAAATTTAACTTGGATGTGTTTGGTATCTTTTTTCTATTTGTGATAGACCAAACACACAAGTTGCATCCTTCAACACTGAAAACTGTCAATGTGTAAGCTCATCTCAACATGTAGCCAGTAACTAAAATACCTGACATGTGTTTTGTTGTCATGCTGTAACTTACAGGTTATAATAAATGTAAGTACCAGATCTATTTTTAAGGACGTTTTCTCACTGTGTGAATGAAGTGAACCAGTTTTTGGATCCACGTTGTATGAGGGAGGGGAACATGAAGCAAGTAACAGGGACTGCAGTGTGCATAAAGCGTGTGGTATGTGCAGCACAATGCTTTATAGTTGACTGATCCAAAGTATCTACAAAATCTAAAAGGAAAACATTCTCACAATCACCTGGAAATCTTAGTTACCACAAGTTGTGTTTAAAAGGAGATCCGTCAATAGTAGGTGATGTAAAATGGCCATTCTCTTACCTAACTTCAGCTGTGGCAAATCTGGAATCTCCTTCGTTATGACTGTGTAGTACATGTGAAGACCCCTGTATGCATTCAAGAGCAGCAGACACAGGTCCTTATGCCATTTGTATGCATGTTGCATGCAATTTTCAGAAGGGACATAAAAACTGCCCTGGATAAGGAAACAGAAGAAAATGTATGCAAATTAAAATTTACAGTCTTGTTTTGTGCTGGAGGCTTTAAAAATCGGAGTGTGAGCTGCCCCATAGTCCTGCATCCTGTCCAGATACAGAACTGTATATCGTATTTCAATCTTGATTTCCATTCATCCTCAGTGTACCAAGATCTGCAAACTTGGGGTATGTCTACACTACATGCCTCTGTCGGCAGAGGCATGTAGATTTGTTTGTTCGGCAAAGGTAAATGAAGCCGCGATTTAAATGATCGCGGCTTCATTTACATTTACATGGCTGCCGCGCTGAGCC